TGGCGGGCAGGACGGTGACGTGCCCACGTCCTCCTGCCTCGCCATGGGGCCACAGAAAGGACGTGGCCGTGTCTCCCGCATGAGCTGCCCCAGGGATGGCCATGGGGAACCAACTGCCCTCCCTCCGTGAAGGAGACCAAGGTCCACCCGCAGCACTGGCTTCAGCTCCTCTTCTTGCTGTTTATTTAAATTTATTTAATGAGCTTCCAGAGGGCCTCTCAGAGGGTTGAATGCAGTGCGTGGTGGCCAGAGAGTCTCTTACACCATGCCCCATATCGCAATATTGCGCAGCAGAGCAGCAAACTTAACCCTAGCCCTCACTTCTCGTGTGCGTGGACCGAGCCACGCATCTGCTAGTAAAATAATTGCCAATACCTTGAGCTCAGCTAGACGCACGCAAGAACATGAGGGTGAGGGCAGTGGGAGCAAAGGAGGACAGAAGAAGGCAACTGCTGGTGCTTTGAAAAGTACAAAAAAAGGGAATGCGAGCACTTCCCGCGCGCCCTGCTAGCGCATTGCTGCTCCGGAGCCTTGTGCAGCCTGTGCTGCTCTGAGCCGAGGACGCTGCTCGCCGTGATGGATGTCAGCTGCTGTGCGGTAGCACAGCCAAGCGCTTGAATACAAGAAATGGAATCTTAATTTTTCTGCTCTGCGGTTGTGCCAAGAATGACAGAGACAAAGTGGTAAATGTCATAAAATTAGTTTTATGAGCTGGGGCAGAGCATTAGTTCTGAACCACGGAGCAGCAATGGTGCTAATCCTGCAGCGGGGCCGAACAAAGCAGCGTCTCGGTAATTCGTGTGGGGCTGCGAGCGGCGCTGCTCGGCCGCTCCGAGCAAGCCTTTGCCGAGGAATTTACCTAGGACGCCCCAATTCATGCTAATAAACTAATCTGACTTTCCCACGTGCCGTGAATGGCTGTTTGCACCTTCTCGGACAAAGGTCCTTTAGCAGCTCCTTGGCAGTTCGTCTCACTGGGGAACCCTCTCTGCGTGCCTATGTCTCTGCGGAGCCTCAGGTTGGGGTGTTTGGGCAGGCCGGTGCAGCCGGTTGCTGAATTTGGGTTTAGGGGAAACTGCTGCTGCGAGGTGAGCCTCGCATGTGGCCCCTTGCGGCCACGGCGCCCGGGGGCGCCTCGCTGGGCGCCCGCTGGCCCTCGCGGCGCCTTGTCCGCGGCGTTGTGAGAGCGCTCGGAGCGAGAGCTGGCGAGGCGAGCAGGGACCGCGCGGGGCACGTGTGTCCCCAGCCCGTTCTGTTGGCTGGAGACGGCCTAAGAGGCTCCTAGGCACTCATGAGCGGTTCTGAGCTGGTGATGACCCAAAGTGGGGCAAACTCGCATTGAACAACTGTCAGGAGTGGGTGGCCGGGGGGGGGGGCGGGGGCCGGGGGG